GGCATCTTTGATCAGTTCCTACAGTCATTCAGTGAAGCTAAACAGGACAATGAGAACATGCGACGACGCAAGGAGGAGGAAGAGCGCAGGGCCCGCTTGGAGGTGCAGGTAACGTATCAACAAGCATGCCCTGTGTCAATCTCAAACACATGCACATGCAGCCGCTTAGCAAGATCCTCTCTAAAGGTGTTGTACTAACACTCTAAGCAAAAATCAGTCAATGCTGTATGCTGCATTCTATATACTATTGTAAATTTGGGGTCGGTAAGATTTAACAGTGTTTTTGTTTTGAAAGAAGTCTGTTATTCTCAACAAGGCTGCATATGTTTGACCAAAAATAAGTAAAAACAATAATATTGTGTCTATTATTACAATTTAAATATATTTGATGTATTGTAAAATGTAATTTATTTCTGTGATGCAAAGCTGCATTTTCAGCATCATTACTCCAGTCTTCAGCGTCACACGATCCTTCAGAAATCATTCTAATATGCTGATTTGGTGCTTAAGAAACATTTCTTATTATTATCAATGTTGAAAGCAGTTGTGCTGCTTAATATTTTTGTGGAAACTGTGATCAGTTTTTTCATGATGCTTCGATGAATTAAAAAAAACAAACTTACTGACCCCAAACTTTTAAATGGAAGTCTGTGTTTGTCAAAAAGCTTGATTTTAGGGGAAGTAATTATGATTTCACTTGTTGTCACAGTCGCTACTTGTGATTACTTGTTCATGTACACCAAGTCAGATGGTCGTCTTTAGCACTTCTGTCAAGTCTGTTTTTTTCTAACTATTTTTTAAAGTAAAAAAAAAAAAAAGAGTACATCTCCAAAACAGACATTTTAATAATGTGCCGTATGTAAACGCATACGCGAACACAAAATGCAGCTCCTGTAATTTAACAGTAAAAATCCTTGCCATTCAGCAAAGTGAGAATTCATCAAAATAAAGGCATGCAACAAATCGAGGAGAGGGGGGTTATAAAGAATGTCTTTCAAATACAAAAAAGTAATCTGCCTATAGTGTACACTGTGTAGTATGCAGTGCTTTACCATTCCATTGTACAAACTAAACACCTTCATGCAAAAGAAAATTTACATATAAAATATGTCTGTGAACAGCTCAAGGAACAATGTGAGAAGGAAAGAAAAGCCCGGAAGGCCAAAGAGAACTGCGAGGAGGATGGAGAATTCGACGACCTGGTGTCAGCACTCCGATCCGGGGAGGTGTTCGACAAAGACCTATCAAAGATGAAACACAATCGCAAGCGTCCCGTCAAACAGAGTGCAGAGAGCAGCAGAGAGAGGCCCATCACCAAACTCAACTTCTGAGGAAGCTGCTTGAGTGAGTGCTGCCTCCTGTTGGTAGAGCTGAGACGTTACACCTGCGTGCACAAGCTCTCTGTTTAGAGCTGGAGAGGATGGATATCCAGGCCCTGTTTTGTGCTGACTGCCAAGATACTTCTTAAAGATTTATAAAGTCTTTTCTAAACATGTAAATCAGATGTTATAGTGTTTGTGTTGAAGATGACAGGAGTCACTATGGTGCTTCTGCACCATATAAACTGGTGCTGAAATTCAGAAACACCCATTTTCACAGTTTTGCTTGCCTGACAACCATAAACCCCATTTATATCTGTCTGCTCAGATACTGCATACATTTTTGTTGAGTTATTGTTGGTGTACAACGTGCACTATCAAGAAACAGGCGTGGTTTTGCAATATGTGGTGTGGTAAACACTAAATGTCAGTGTTTTGGAAGCAAAAGTGATTTTTGTTCAATTGTGGGACACAAATAATAACCAGTGATACTTGTATATCATTGGATGTTGAGATTGGTCTGATTGTAATGAGTATTTCCTTTTGTTACATTTGTAACTCAAGCACAAGCGATTGTTTGTTAATAAACTGTCCATTCCAGACCTGTTAAAGCACAACGAACAACTTAATATCCAGAAAACAACCTCTTGTATAAAATGTTAATGAAATTAAAGTGTTTATTATAAATCTACAGATGCCATGTATTAAATGTACTGACAGGAAGTTTAGTGGAAAAAATATGCTGGTCAAACTTTGATTGCAAATATATTTTAGAGGATGACAGAAGGACACAATTTCCTTTTTTTTTTTGCAGTTACCAAAAAGAACATTCATTAAAAAGAGCGGTGGATGCAAAACCTGCCGTGCATGTATATTCTTGTAATTTCTTTTGTTTGTGTTTAAGGTTGTATATACTGTACATATACCCATTGTTAACTCTTCTGTCCAAGGCTTTTTCTTAGTCCTTGACACTATTATTCTGTGCTAATAATTTTTTTTCCTGTTGATCGGATGCCATTAAATCTTTTTCACTAATAGTTCTTTGTAATATTGTATTACTTTGTAATAGCTTCCTCTATTGGCAGGATTTTTTTTTTAATTTTCTTTATTTAAGAATTCATTTGGATGTGAGATAAGTAATCAATCAATAAACCCTGAGGGTCGTTGCATTGGTGTTTGACTGCTGACTTGTCTTCAGTTTCGCAACCTGAAATTTCTTGAATTCTTGAATTGCAAGAAGATTTAAGGTTAGTAAAGTGCTTCATAGCCATAATTACACAACAACACTGAACTTAAAAAAAAGAATTGTTCAAGAGTGATTTGTGAATAGTAATCAAACATAAAGCCAAAAATGGACAAAACATATTCAAACTTTTATTTCAGGCAAACCGCTTTCAAAGACAATGTATGGCAATGTTTATTTAATAATAGCTTGTCTGAAATCTTAAATGTCTTTGCTATTTAAAAAAAAAAAGTAATTTTAGTATTTGAAAATGATAATGCATCTCTCTCCTATTACTGAAACCAACAAGGTTTTCAAAAAATTCATATGACTCTTATATGCCTGCTTATACTGTCTCTAAAATACATCTGTTTCAAGGGAGGTTTCACATATAAAAGACCCTGTGCTTTTGTTAGATTGGATTATCAACACAATATACCTCTCTAGATCTCTATGGCTGGTCTTACATTGATATAAATACTGATGAATGTTTGCAGAAAAAGCCAATCCAAACAGATTTTTATCAAATATAAAAGACTAAAAAGCACTGATATCTAGAAACATGAATGGCGGTTTAACCCTTTACATCAAACTAATAAAGGGCAGTCTGATGCTACAGTCATATAAAGAATTTGATCAATTTATGCTCCAAAGTGGCAGCCTGAAATATTAAAAATTGATATAGAGATTTTTCCAAATATTTAAACACTGACATTAATTGATTTCTGTATTCTGTAAACCATGCTACATCCAACAGTTAAGGCAGTTTGTTGGTTGTATTTGTTACATGCTTTATGTTGATATTCCGAAATCTCAAAGAAAAGATCTGGTTTTTCCCTCAAAAATATGATCAATTATTTTATTTTTTTTATTATTCTTTTTTTTTTTGATAAAATATTTTTTTTTGGTATGATCAATTATTTAACAAAAATGTATGCTGGTTACAGGTTACCCCATTCCTATTTTATTTGACGTTTTCTGTAAATTTAGTTTGATTTTGAGATCTTTTTATTACAGTATAGCGGGTATATTCTGGATGCCTATATTTTAAAAAGTGAAGTGTGAAGGGTAAACCTAAAAGCAAAGACAATCACAATGAAAAGAAAAAGTTATAGCCCTATTTCTTAAATGACCATGTCATTATGACCGATTGTTCAATTAAAGAGTTATAAAGTCCTCTCACCTCTTGTAAGTTTATATTCCAGGGCAGCGTTAACACCCCAGAGCAGATGATGAACAGCATGAATATGGTTTTGTGAGAGATTTCTGTAAACCCTTAGGTTCATTCACAGTGTTGTAAAGCATTTGCATTAGACTCAAGAGTGACTTTCATCTTGGCACTTGGCACACACACAGACACATACTAGTCTACACACTTTATCTGCTGATTCATTACACTAATGAACTCATGCTTGGAGAGTTTGGTTTCAAATATAGGTTGATGGAATCAAAAGATTACATAAATCCTTAATAGAGAATATAATGCATAATAATACATCTTAAATTCATTTACATTCATACTTTGTCATTTTTACTTATAGGCCTACTTAAAGCTGAAGAATGTAACGTTTTAACAGTGTCGCTATAAAAAAAGCTAGCCTAATCCTACACTACAATACTGACTCGACCAATAGCGTGAGTTGTGGGCGGGGTTTATCTGTTTCTTCGTCAAGCGTCACTTTTACAGTTTGCTAGGTGGCGCTAGTGACGTAGAAATTAGCCTACATACTTCAGCTTTAAAAACAGGCAAAATAATGCTTCTTTAAACATTATGTAACGTAATAATGCTGTTAGTTAATGTACAATCAAATATTTGGAACTGACATGAAACTTTGATAAGTAGGCCTATTTCCATTTATTCGAATGCACATGATTTACTGAAATATAAAGGGAGGTACTACAGGTGAATTTTTACTTGCAGCAAAATGAATCTGCTGTAATAAAATAGCCTACATAAGAACACAGTTTTTGCATTGTGACTTTACCCCTAATTAATTATTTGTTATAAAAAAAACTACAAAAAGTAAAAAAAATTAAAAACATAAAAATAAAAAATGAAAATAATAAAATCTGCAAAAATGTACATATTTGCTTATTAACTATAACAAAAGTGAGACCCTACTACAGAAAATATCAAATTTTTATTTAATGTGATCAACAACTTAAAGGTTGATTGTCAGCTCCTTTTGTCAAAAGCTTAATTATTTAACAGAATATTTACTAAAACACTTTTCGTGTAAATAAACATGTTTCTTTAAAAAAAAAAAAAAACTAAACACCAACAACTACCAGAATAAATATCACTTAATAAGAAAATTCTATTTAGGGTCTCTAATAAAATAGGCTATATGTTTTGTATGAGCAAAATATCAAGAAACAGCTTCTGATATATGCAAGCAATGTGAATTTCATAAAATAACTATATATATATATATATATATGCCTGTGTGTGTGTGTGTCAAAATGAGTTGCCACTGAGTTTGCATGACTTGACATTTTGTTATCCAATGCAATAAACTAATTTTTTACATTTTTAAGTGTGACCCAAGTAATTTTGGGTCCCACTGTACACCTGTAGCACCTCCCGTTATCTTCATAAAGTGTTGACCGCATTACAAACTGGTGTCAGCAGTCTCAACTTTGGGCACCGGCGGTTCAGTGATCGTATCCGGATGCGCATCTCTACAGAAGAACACCGCCGGGTTTTTACAGGCCCACATGGCCACATCTCCGCCGTTAGCCGGGCTAGAGGAAGACAGACGGCTGTTTGCGCCGTGTCGGCTCACGTACCGATCCCGAATCCGGTCCGACCGGGTCCGGACCGCGTCCCTGCGCCGCGTCTGCGTGGACAGGTATGCGGCTATGTTTCTAGTCCTGTATCCCTCCTCTCTGCTCCGACCCAGCAGCATGGATATATTCGGGTTCCTTATGGCATAAATCAATGGGTTGATGGCACCGTTAGCCCACGCCATCCAGATGGCCACAGTATCCATAGCAGGATTGAAAGAGTAGCTCCCGAGCGCGGTGATGATGCCCATCAGGCAGTAGGGACCCCCGCAGAAGATGCTGAACACGATCATGATGAGCACGGTGGTGGCGGTGCGCATCTCGCTGTAGAAGCGCAACAGGTGCGCGTAAGTGGTCACCGGCCGCACCCTGATCTCCGACAGCCGGACGGTTTTGCAGATGTTGTAGTGGCAGAAGCACATGAGGGCGAAGGGAAGCAGATAGCACACTACTATTAAAGCTACACTGTATGCAGTACCCATCCTGGAGGTGCCAGAGTGGAACACGTACATGCAATGGTAAAACCCCTGTTTGTGCACCACCAAGCGCCCGGAGGTCTCCCTAAGCAGGTACCAAGGAAACGAGAAGACCACCGCGCAGAACCAAACGGCAGCTAGGAGCTGGATAGCTCTCCTCCGGCCGATTTTGGCTTGCGGCTGCCTGACGATAGCATAATAGCGGTCGAATGAGATGAGCGTCATGGTCAAGGTGGAGATGATGCCGAAGCAGGTGTTGAAGAAGCCGTTGGCGATACAGAAGGGCTCCCCGAACATCCACTTGCCATCCTTGCTGAAGAGCATCATGAAGGAGAAGGGTAAACAAAGAACGGCCGTGAGGAAATCCGAGAGGGAGAGGGACATGATGAATGCGTTAGTGACGGTTCTCAACTGCCTGTGTTTGATTATAACCACCACGACCGCTGAATTACCCAGACTGGACAGTAAGAAGATGGCCAGGAGCAGCAGCGCCTGCGCGGCCACCGCGATGCCCTGGAGAACCGAGTTCCCCTCCGAACTCCTCACCGGGGTGTTGCGGTGCATCTCGCCCCCGGCTGTATAGTTGCTGGCCTGAGTGCTCAGGCTGTTTACAACGGGTTTGATGGTCACAATCTCTAAAATGAAGCCCGAACCCGACATGTTGTCCACGGTCGTGTTGCTGATGCCGGGGAGATCCATTGGACACGGTTAGGGCGCATCCACGGGGTGGAAGAGAATTCATCCCTTGTCAGTATCTCCCGTGCCCGTCTCACAGCAGAAATGAGTGTGCGCTACGATGCCACAGACGGTCCCTATGTAGTCCTTTGATGCCATACACTATGCTTGGAGTAAAGAATGTTCCCCGTGCCCTCCCTGTTACAGATGATTGAGCGGACAGTGCTGCTCGGTTACTATTAATACGAGACGAAACCTGGTTATTCTTCTAGGGGGCGCTTGGAGGCCCAGAAAGCCAATTCACTACTGAGACGCATTTAGATTTCAGGACGTTTTGTGACATTTTTGTGCTAACGTGTATAAACTTTTTAAGTCTTATACTTTCGTGAATTAATATTGAAAATGCAAATGGAAATCGGCCATAGCTACGTTCATCAAATTATTATTTAAAAAGACCAATCGAGTGCGTCCCAGCGACTGTGATTGGTCCATTCTGACAAAGCGCGGAGAAAAGTAACATGTATAAAGCGCAAGCGTTTGCGCTCCACCTGAATGAATCAAATTCTCCGCTAACTCAAAATGTCGTTTTCAGATGAACTGGGAATATCTTACTAGCATGCTACACTATGACTGCTGTTTCTGCCTTATAAACACAGAAACGTTTGCTATTTCGAATTCAGTCTAAGTGAATTCAAGTTAAGAGCTGATTGATCCACCTAGTGCTGTAAAAAGTAACAGGTATCACGTGACACAGCCGTCTACTTCAGTAGCGACCTAGAAAATTCTTTACACTTTAATACTGACATCTGGTCACTTTTGTACAAACACAATTTTTCTCCTAGCAGGTGTTTTATATGGAACAATGGTAATATCACTCATAATAACAAGTCATTGTATATGGAGAATTGGGTTCGGCATAACATATTAATTGTAAACCAGCTTATTGACAAGAATGGGCAATTATACACTTACCCTAATTTTATTACAAAAATATGGCTTTTTTGTAACCGAAAAAGAATTTAACAAAGTAATCAAGGCTATTTCTAGTGGCATAATAATTTTAACCAAATTCTCTGATGTAAATATTAATAATACAAGCCTACAAAATCTCCAACTTTTTGTAAATGGTCTCTCCTTTTTTGACAAGCGTTTTAATAACAGTTTTATAAGAA